TTCTTAGATTATTATTATTTTTTATTGTCTAAAGTTTTACATATGTCTCCTTTTTCCCCCCAATTGCCCCCTCCCCCAGTCATTCCCACCCTAGGCAAGCCCTCACTGTCCCAGTGTCTGTGTCCATTGGTTATTCTAATATGCATGCATACAAGTCCTTGGGTTGCTCTCTAACCCCCACCTTCTTAGATTATTAGATTGACCTCCTGCTTATGTTTTCATTATTATTAATGTGCATGGTCAAAATTCTAAGGAAAAGTCATTAGACTTTAAAGATGTCATCATCATTACCCAACCACATAAAGAAAATTTACAAGGCAACATTTTATTTCATTTACTTCGTTGTGAGTCCTAACACTTCTAGCCTCATGCACTCCTGCCACTCATCATTAAAAATAATGTCCTGAGTCTCACCTCATGTTCATCCCACTCATCACCACCCTCCATCAGCATCCTTAAAGTGGATATGTGTTAGTACAGGTACATTTAAAACATATTTTGCCTAAACTTGTCACCACCACACTCCCTGTTAAATGCTTTCATATAACTCTGTCCAGTACCATTTCTTTATGTGTATGTATATCATCCCATCACCTGATCAATACTGACATGAAGTTAAGAAAAGTATGTTTCATGCTATTTAGAGTAACTCATATTTAGAAGTCTACTCCTGAGCACAACAAATGCCACACACAATTCACTTGCAACTCCCATTTTACTCTGAGAAACAACCTTTTAAAAAGTTGCCTTTGACTTTCATGTTCCCTGACTTTTGTTGATATTCCAAATCCAGTGAATAAGTAATTACCCCAAAGATATAATTACCTTGTAGATTTCAAAATTCTACAGCTAACAATGTATTTGCTTAAGGGCTTATTTATGTTTTTAAAGACTTCAGTGTTTTGCCTCCTTTTCACCCTGGGTGGTTCATCTTTCATCCGTCGAGTGTGCAGTTTCTTATCTTTTCTTCTTCTGAAGATGAACAGTGAACACCTGACTGTTCCAGCAAAGCCTGACTGTGAGCATTGGCTGGACCATCTGGCACCATGACTCAGATTTAATTACTGGTTACTGGATGAGTACCATGTGTCAGACCCTGACTGAGGCGTTGCTGCACAATTGGCTGAATACTCCATGTGTACATGGGCCTAATTCATTAGGTGACTATTTAACAAATTCCCATGTTACCATGTCTTCTATCTCCTGTATTCTGATGTTTTGACATCTTGGGGTTTTGATGACTCTAGAGGGACTACTCTTCACAGGGTAAACAAATTCCTAGAGATAAACATCTTCCCTTCCAGTATGCCTTTCCTATGCAAACCAACCAATACTGAGTCCAAACTCCCAATCACCTCCTTAACTGGCTCTCATACTCAAGGCCACTCTCCCCCTAACCTAAACACCTCAGGGCCAGGTACAAAACACCTAGGAACTTCCCTGTGTCCCAGAGCCCTCTGAAATTATTCCAAATAGCCAATCCTAAACCTGTTTACTTTGTTTCCTGTTCTTTCCAGTGGAAACCACAATAAAGTCTCTTGTCCACATTTTCCTTATTCCCTCTGACTCCACTGCTTCCCTGGTTCCCATGGAATGTGAGTATAATAAATTTCTTCCTTTATGACAGTAACATCTATATCTGCATATCTTACCATACCTGACTGAAACAAATCACCCCGCATAATCATAGAACTAGCAACTAAGATTATCCTGTTTTTCTTTCATCCTATCCTCTGTGTTTAGAAAAAACAAGATTTAAACTTTTCTTTTTCTCATTTGTCTGATCCATGTTAACAATACTTAATAAAAGTAAGTATATGCAAGTTCCTTTAGAGTATAAACCCAAAGATTTAATTGATCACTATTTTCTCCTATGTGAACAAGCCATCATCTCTTACCTATCTGCCAAATCCCTTCACAGCACCCACTATCCTGCCATACTACTTCACCCATACACAGAGAGAGTCGGGAACAACCCTCTGCCCACATCATTCATCATCTCCCTGAGCCAGCAAACTAGATGAATCTTAGAAACCCATCAGTGACCTCTGTTATAAATGGGTTGCACAGGTTCCATATTTCACTGGACTGGAATCTGGGTGTGTCACTGCAGGTCCAACTAATTATGTTGATAGGCTGTGGGGTAATTTGGCCAATGCTAACTTGCTTCAATCCTCAGAACTGCTTTAGAGCTCAATGCTGTTACATTTCCCTGCCATTCCTTTTGCTGGCATCCTTATCAGGCTTGCTGTCCTTGTCCTAGAAATGGACTTTGTTTGACCAGGGAGCAATAAAGAAGCAGAGGCAATGACAGATGAAAATCTGAATTGCCCATCTAAATTTTCTCTATCTTTTCAACCTGTTTCTTTGTCAAATGTCAAAATATAAAAGATAGGCTTTGGGGGAGGTTAAAAAGCGGACTACAAGGCAAGGCCTTTAAGTAGATATATATGTTCTTGGAGGTGTACTTCCAGACAAGGTTACCAGCATTGAGTTTCTGTTTCAAAGGAACCTACTGAAGCAAAGGGTTAATTCTAGTATGTATCAAACATACAGACCACTGTTAAAGTGCCATGTCATAACTGGCAGTATTTTCTTTCTTTTTGTATAAAATAAAAATAATGCTATGTCTTACAACTGATGGTATTTAATATTTGATGATACATGGAAATAAAGACGGTTTGCTAGTTAATTTAGAAGTTTTATAAATAGAAGAGAATACATAATGGAAGTTTGTTGATACGGAACAGTTTTAAGTTAATGAGCTATTTGCATGAACCCAACTTTATTTAGGCAAACTGTGCAATATCAATAATTTGGTAGAGTTTTGTAAGTCACTAGTCATTTTAAAGACATGTACTCCACTGTATCCCAACCATGTTTCTAATACATTTTTCATTCTGGTGTAAGAATGTGACAATGAGCATACCTCATACTCTACTTTCCCAGCTTTAATTAGTGCTGCTCCAGTGCGGGGGAGTTTAGAGATGTTGGAGGAGAGATACTGGGGCTGTCTTCTAAACTGAAACCCAAATACTGTTGTGGGGATTGAGTGAAATAATTAGACAGGAGAGTCCACTTAAAATCCCAAAGCATGCATACCGGACTTTGATATTCTTAGCACTAGAGTAGCATGAGTAAAATGCCACCCACAGGGATATGTTTCCAAGCAGCATATGGTCACAGCTCAAAAAATGCATTTATTCCTTTTAGGCTTATTACTGCCAACCATTTTGGAACCAGAGAGAGTTGAAAACTATACCAAGGATGAGAACACACACACACACACCCTTAGGGAAGGGAAATATTAAAACAACAGCTGTAGATTATAGTAGCAGACACAATTATTTTTAGGCACAGCTTCAAAACTTACTGTATCATAACTGTGAAATCAGTTTTGTGGTGTGTGTTTTTTTTATATTGTTCAGCCAACTGACAACCACCTAAGTGTAAAAGCAAGTAATCAAATCAGAAATAGGTGTGTGGTCACATACATCACAAGACAACATGTAAAGGGTTTGTATATGGTGAGCACATTTCTTCGACACTGTTGACAACAGGCTACAGTATATATCGGCAAGGCCCTAAGTTAGTTTCCTTTTTGGTCAGCAGAGGACAGTCCAGGGATTTCCTAAACTAGTACCACCTTCTCCAGTAACTTTGTTTTAGTCTGTCCTTTTATGTAGGCTGGCCTCTGTCAGGAATTCTCTGACAGTTGTACAGGAGGACAAGTATACCAGTGAAGGGGATGTGTTGCTGCCAACTGGAGCTGTACATATATGTGCAGATCCAAAACAGACTTAATGACTGTGAAGATAGAGACTGCACTATGTTTGCTAGTGAGGGAAAAACTCTGTTACCTGTCTTTGGAATAAATTTATCTGAAAGAGCAAGGAGCTTATGTCTGGAGCTGTCCATCTGATTTACATGCTGAGGACTGAGGATGGAGGAGAGTCTGGGAGTCCCTTGGTGAGATGTCACCCCTTGGTGAATAAAACACCTGCTGGGCACAGGAATACAGTGATGGGTTTCCAGAAAGAGAAGATGTTCTATAAAGGGGTCTGGTGGAGGCCAGTAGGCAGTCTATGTTGCCATATTTCGATTTCCTACTATAACACATACTAGTCTCTCTCAGGAGGGTCTGGGAGACAGCATACAGTACATACAAGTTCAAATCCCAACTTTGTCACTTACTAGTCATATAATCTTGGGAAAATTACATAAACTCTTTAAACTCTAAAACAGAAAATAATACCTCATCAGAGATTGTAAGAATTAAAGTAATAATATATGTAAAACACCTAGTAGTATATCTGGCACATAGAATGTGCTCAATATAGGAACACTGTTCTGTCACTACTAAGGAAGTTTCCTTCTATTTAGGATGTAAATGTTCTTACAGATGTTACCTGGTGTGGGGATAAATCATATGGACCACAAAAACATGCTGATGTCCTTGGCAAAGGACACAACAGGGCACAAAAGGTCTCCAGGGCACAGAAGTTGGTATTATGAATGAAATAGTCTTACGGTATGACTATGTCTTGGTAAGAAATAAAGTAACTGTGAGAATCCACATGTGATCAGAATAGTACCAGAATGATTAGAATTAGTAGGCAACATATATTTGTTGAGACGGGCTAATTCCCAGTCCATGTAATACCCACTTTACTACCTCTACCTGAGCTACTTTGTGTTCCTACAATCTTGTGTAAAACTCATTTCTGGCTCTAATTATTTCTCTGCATTAGAGAAAGTTTTGTAAAGCAAATGATCTCCACCTATGACCCATCTAGTTTTGAAGGATGAAACTTTCTCCTGCCTTCAAGTGGATACACATGCTCTGCATTCTTTGTTTCCACCTGCCCTGAGCACTGGGCCACAACTTCCCCCTCCCTCTCCTGTGCTCCACAGCAGCCAGCGCTCAGGGAAAGCCTGTTGCAAGCACGTGGCAATAAGAAAATATTCAAGACATGACAAAAGTAATCACTGGCACCTTGGACATTCTAGTGATTGGGGGCTTTAATTAGAAGGTAAGGTAGATAGACACATTTTTTTAAGCTCTGAGAGTACAGACCTTGGTAGAGCCCATTCTAGGAGGAGAGAACATGGGGACATTGACTACTTGATGCACTACTTTCAAGCAAAAGTCATAGTTATTCCCAAGGGGGTTCCTACAGATGAACTTCCTGAAGAACAGCTGTGTCAGGAATGCTGCTCTGATTAGAAAGCGGCATGGGTTCCTGCATGCCCACATGCAGGGCACAGGCACCCGGCAGGCAGGGGAGCTGCCTCTATTAAAGGCGCGGGCCTTGGGGACGCCAGTCTGGCTCCTGGAGTCTCAGCATCAAACTTTCTCCTGGAACAAAAGCTCTTTCAAACCACTTGGAGGCAAAGGCGGATGGAGGATGGGGATGCCACGAGCTGCCGGCCGGAGAGAGCACCTCCCCCTGGGCTCCCTCCCTCTTCCTCACTGGGACCGCCGCCGGGCAGCGTAGCCCCGCCCTGGCCCCGCCCTTCCCCCACCCTCCTCCCCGTAGCCAGCCCATCCCTGGCTCTAGAGCCCAGCGCCTCAGGGAGCCTTGACCTGGGCGCCGCGGTGCCCCGGCCCAGGGGCGAACGGGGCTACTACCTTAGGAAGAGGCCGGGGCTCCTGCGCTCGAAGAGTGCCGCAGCATCGCCGGGACGCCGCCGCCACCGCTGCCTGAGCCTCTCGTGCTCCCCACGCTGCACTCAGCTGGCTGCGCCCGGGATCGGCTGCCCGGCAACCTCCACTGTCAAGTGTAGCCCCGCCTCTTCTGCGCCGGGATTGGCTGTCGGCGTCGTTGTCCCGCCCCACCCCGCGCCGCGCCCTCCAGCTCCCTTGCGCGCGCCGCCTAGGAGGGTCCCCTGCTGGGTGACGCTTCCTGTGGGCGTAGCGCTGAGCCTTGGTTCCCCAGCCTGCCAGGGACCCTCTCCTGGGCCAAAAGGAAAGACTAGGAGAGGGGAAGAAACAGAGAACACAGCTTCTCTAGGGGAGGGCAGCTGCGGCATCCTGCCCTGGAATCTGAATTATATAGACACATTTATTAAGGGAAGGTTGGCGAGGGTGGGGTGTTGGAAGCGTAGCCACAGCGTGTTTTTGTTTTTAGTTTGTTTGTGTGTGTGTGTGGGGGAGAGGTCGGTCGTTAATTTTGTATTTGTAGATCTTTTTAAAAAAAATTTGTCAATCACAGTTGGCATTCAAACTTATATTAGTTTCAGGTAAACAGCATATACAGCATAGTAATTAGGCCATCATATAATTTATAAAGCGATTCCCCCCATAAGTTTAGTACCCATGAGTCTAGTAATCATACATAGCTATTACAATTATTGATAATAATTGTCCCTATGTTGTACTTTATATAGGCATGGCTATTTTGTGACTACCAATTTGTACTTCTTAATCCCTTCACCTTTTTCACTCAGACCTCCAACCCCTCCTCTCATCTGACAACTATTACTCTGCTTTCTATGAGCCAGTTTCTGTTTTGTTTATTTATTTTGTTCTTTTAGGTTGGTGTTCTAACCTGAAGGTTTCCTCACACATGGTGTGCACTTCTTTATTTTATGAAGAGAGTAAATTCAGTTCAACATGTGTCCAGGGTCACAAGGCAGGAGGTTGATTCTATGCTAATATAAGAAATCAAAGCTACCTCGGATTTTATTTATTTCAATCATGGGAGAGATGATTCTAATACTCGATATTCTGTATATATGTAACAAGATTAATTAAAAATCCAGAGAAACAAGAAGTAGGTTAGTGATTGCTAGGGAGTGGGGGGAAATGAGGAGTGACTGCTAATGGGTAGGGGTTTCCTTTTGGGGTGATGAGAATGTTCTGCAATTTGATGGTGGTGATGGATGCACAACTCAATATATACTGAAAGCCTGAATTGTACACTTTAACTTAGTGAACTTCATGGTTTGTGATTTGTATCTCAAAGCACTTACAGAAATATATTACGAGTGAGATCGCTTTGGGGAAACCCACATAAACACATAGTTACACTAAGTCACAATTCTGTTCTGTGAAGGCAGAAAATTATGTGCGCACACCCATTCATTCATGCATTCATTCATTCAATAAGCCATGTTCATCTTTACCAGATACTCTGAAGGGATACAAAGATTAATAATACATGATCTGTTGTCAAACTATTGAGGGGGCAGGCATTATAATACAATAAAGTGTTACTCCAAGGGAGTTAAGCTAAGTGCCGTGTTTAGGTTACTAATGTTGTTGGAAGTGGAGTCTTTTGGATACTACTGGAATAAGAATTTCTGGAGGTCCCCATGAGAGGATAAGATACTGTAGAAAGTTTTATTTCTGTGGAATTACACCTCTGAGTTTCCAACATCCCATTTTCCTTTGTCCTGCTAAGGAAGAAGTCCCAGTTTGTTTTCAGCAGAGCTGGAATCAAAGCTGGTGTTAGGGTATAGTCCAGTCTAGCATCAGGCTCGCTTAGTTTGTGCTTCCTGATGCATTGTGTGTGGGGTCCACAGGGTCACCTGGATATGGAGGAACTCGGGCAGGAGCCATGCCCAAGGAACCGGAGAGCCGAGAGAGAGTGCCAAGAGCCAAGTGAATGTGCTCCTCTGCCTCGGGGACTATGTATTCCCAAATTTTTGTGGGCTTGCCGTGGCTCTGCCCACTCTGGCCAATGATCTCTGTTCCCAGGTTAGACTGACAGGAAAGCACCTTTCCTGTGTACCTTCCCCTACTCACTGCACATGGCGCTATCTCCCCTTTGCGCAGTCCTTTCCCCTAGTAATCTGCAGGGAGTGGGCCGGTAGTTCCCTGTGGTGTGCAAAATAGCTTCCTGGTGAAGCTGCCCAAATAACGTGCCTATAATATCCGGCTTTCTCTTTGCTCCTTTCCTATTATTAATAACTAGCTAATTACAATGGTATCACTAATAACTGAGAAAGAATCTTGGCATCAGTCATGAAGGACTGGAGTGCAGTGTTTGTTCTGTTAGCAATGACTGATGTGGCCCATTATAAGAGGTATGACAGGAAGTGAAGCTGGACAGTTACTCACAGGACAAAATATCAGCTTAGATTACAGCTCAGTTCAAAAGGGGCAGCGAGTCTTGAACATTTAAATTGCTCTGGGTCTTTTCCCATCCCTGGTATAATGTGTGATTTGGGTTTTGAATGGTCTCAATCTAATCCAAGTTTCATCATCTAGTAAAAGCACAATAGTACCATTAACTGACTTTCATGTCTGCTTTTCTGGTACACAAAATGCTTTCCTGAATTCTCTCCTCAGAAGCTGGACAGCTGAGGGGATGCGCTTAAGGCCTATGGCTTCTAAGTGATGGAGCTGGAACAGACCTTCATTTTCTGGCTCTGGGTCCCATGTTTTTGACATTATCAGCCATTTGAGTTGTGAAGCTTCCTTAGTAGCAACAAATGAAACCTGTTTTCACACTTGGAGTTGATTTTTTTGATTAGGAAGTAGGAATACTACAGGCCCTAAAAGACTCCCCCACCCTCCCCCCCC